CATTAATGAAACCCAGGGAGCATTTTGTTGGTATTTGGCATGCTAATAGCATGTGGAATGGCCGAAAATAAATAAAATCGAATCAATACTACCCCTATCTTCAATTTATGGTATATAAGGTTTTCAAACTTCCGGTTGAACTTATACCATATATATTGATCAGTATTTAAGATATCTTGGAAAAATTAACTGAACGTATAATATTGGATATATTGTAGATAATGTCCGCAACTGCTATATCCTACATAATTTTATTTTCGTTATCTTAACAACCTTGTGCCGAATTTGTCGTTCAGTGTGTGAGTAATATATTTATAAAATTTTTTTAAATTGTCTTCTCAAGTATATACCTATAAGCAATGTCAAAATTAATGCAATCAGCCCATCCCTTTTTCTGCCCCCGAACTTAACTATTCCCTTCTTGTTTTTTATTACTTTAAAATATTTAAGAAGAATATAGAGTCTTTCATAAAATAAGCTAATATATAAAGCTTGTTTTTATTTTGGTTTTTATACAACGTTATGCAGCATTTCAAATTGCCCTGTCACAGTATATAAGTTGTATCACATTTGCAAAACCAATAAGAACTAAATGTAAAATTAATATCTTTACACCAAATTAAAAACAATACAAATTTATATCAATACTCATTGATTAGATTATTTATTGTTTGTAGAACATTTTTACAGCCGTGGTGAGGTGATTTAACTACAATTAAAGATAAATAAAATTATGTAGTATTTAACGTGTTTTTGTTAATGATTTAATTCAAGTACTTAGTGAATATTAAAGCATATCTTAAGGCTATTTGGCATCTGGTTTATTGGATAACCAAATGGTATGCAATTATTTTTAGATGAATCTATATATTTCTTTTCACTGCGTTGTATTCTTCTCGATTCCACCCTCCCGCTATTTATTTCTCTGTCGTAATATATTTGTAATTCTTTTAAAATAGTAAATAATTTCTCAAAGTCACTTTCCGGGGAACGTAAGAAATTGCACTTTATACTGTATTCTTTAAAAATGAAACAGTTAAACAAACGTTGCATTTTAAATTCCAGCTGTTGCATGAGATATTTAACCCCAACTTTTGTCATTGAAAACACATTGTATACCGTTTGTAATCTTGTTTCGGTGGCACATTTATATATCTGTGTTGACCATTTTTGTAAAAATTCAAAATATTTATTGAAACACCAATTATCAAATAAAAAATTCTGATCATGTAAAATATTTTGCTGTATATCAGCATAGTTTTCAAATGTTGTTCGAATGATGTATAGAGCATTGTTAATATATTCCATTCCCTCGTCAATTATTTCGAAAAATACAACATTAAAAAATTCCATTTCAGCAAAATAATTCGTTAACTGCAACTTAACGTGCGGTAGCAACATTTGCTGACCGGTAGGTACACGGCGGAGTTTCATTAAAAAAGTAACACTTTCATTTTTACTGATTTGCAAAAATATTTCCGATTTAAACGCGAATTGTTTTAAGTGATGGGATGCTGTTCTGTAGAACTCCATGTGATCATTTAATTTCTGCCATTTCTGCTGCGATCGCTCCAAGCTTAACTTATTATCGAGCGTTTTTAATATTATTGAAGTTGTTAAATTTTTTTGTAAATTTTCTAAGAAGTTGCGCAACGTATTCTGCAACTTAATTTTGACAATTTCGGCATCTTGTCCAGATTTGTAATATATATTCGAGATCTTTGCATCAAAGATTTTATTATTATTTCCTGATAAATATTCGCCTTCTTGCAATGTATAATGATTTGAGTTTTTGCATCTAGTTACTTGTGAAATTGCAATAATAAAGATGAATATTGCAATTAAGGAACTCTCCATTTTCACATTATATATTTTTTATAGTGTAAGAAAATTTTAAAGCAGCTGGATTACGATATGCACCAAATATATTCTATAAATTAAGAATATTTGCTTATATTTAGTTCTCTATAATTAGATACCATTTGTTATGAGTTGTGTCGTCTTACGAGAGGGTCCTATGTTGAAATGCATTTATATGAAATATACATATCTGTGTACATATATACATGAATATGGAGATCAGCTTTTTAATAGAGATGTGTTTTTCTATATATTTTGTGTTAAAAAATCTAAGTATCTTTAAGTTAAAAAAAAACATAGTTTTGAAGATATTCGAAGATTGAAGATTCATTTCAGAAAATTGCAAATGTGAAGACAGTAATTTTATTGCAGTGGGTCCAGAAACTACAACTATAAATATTTAGACATATACCTACTATAATCAAGAGAAATATTTTCAAGTTCGTTTAAAAGTATGTATATTTTTTATTTTTCTGAGTGCGATTTCAAAATTCTACATCTAAAATATGAATGAGTATTAAATTGTGTTTGGTGTTTATTAATTACTCCTGTCTTATAATTTTATCTTAAGCTAACTTATCAATAATCTTTTGAGCTATACAAAAATATTGGTTTTAATCATTGAACCGTTTCAATCGAAAAATTTATCGATACGAGCGAAAAATATTATATGATAATTTTATCGAAAATGAAATTTTCAATAAAAATTAACTTACTCACTGGCTTGAAAATATACATGTCGCAGCTCATAGATTTTCGTAGAATCGAGAAAAATTGTTGAAATCTATCCATATTTAAAAAAGTTGAACGTTTGTAAGTATTTAGTGTAAGTATAAAATTTACTGAAGTCAGCTGAAATGCTTCATGGCAAAAATAACCAAGGTTGGATACTCCAAGAAAGCAATGATCCGAAACATAGGAGCAGACTCTGTACTCAATGTAAATAAAGAAAACCATATTGTTACTTGAAATTGGCCATTACAGTCCCCAGACTCCAATCCAATAGAGAAATCTTTAAAGAAAGTCAAAATATCAAGAAAACATTTAACGTCAACAAAAAAGTTCATTCGCTTAATTCCACCTACCTGGAAGTCGCTTCTTATGGATTATGCGGAAAATTTAGGTGCAAGTTGCCATCAAAGATCTCAGGCTATAATAGTCAACGCTTGAGATTGGAGCAATTTATTTTCTTTAATTACAATAATTTTCCCAATAAACGCTACCTACACTTTGGAAAACGCAAATGTTATGTTTTGAATGCACTGTACAAAATATCAAAATCATGCTATTGTATGAGTATAAGTTAAGGTGTACCTCTAGGAAACATATTATTTGATACTAACTTTTTGAATATTATATAAATTATAATAAAAATCATAAAATATAAACGTTGAAGCTACATGTGGCATGTGGCTGCAGTTCAGATTTTGGAAGTAACTAGCCGAAACACCACGTGCTTTTTATTCGTGTCAATTATGGTATATGGTATTTATAAAATGTAACAAAATTAATGAAAGTTTGACCGCTTATGTTATATTGCCTAAAATAAGAAAATTTTATATTAACATGATCTCTTCTCTATTTAGATTCGTTAAGTTCTTCTTCACCAAACGAAATGCGAAAGAATACAACTTAAATGAACAGTATGAATGAAAAAAGTAATATCAATCCAGATATGGACAAATCGACATCTCCTACAAATGTATATCCAACACAGCCTTTAAACCATGTTACATCGAAACTTCAGTGTCTTGAAATGCGATCCATGTATCCAAATGTGCCGTATGTAAATCCATACTGTAGTCCTCAAACTAATCGGCGAAGACCTCCGTTAAAAGAATCTCGTCGCGTTTCAACGGAGCAATCTGGCAGTTTTTTACAATTAAATCAATATAAGCTTATGGACCAAATTGGCCAGGTAAGTAAATGCATTTAATATGTCTTTAAGAAATATTTGACCGAGGTACATACATGTTATATGCTACTTTTTAATCCGACTAAATGTGTCCGAATTATAAAAACTGGATTAATTTTACCTTTCTAACTCATTATTATGGTCCTGCACAGAGTTAATCAAGTTTAGGTATTATTCCTGTTAAGTTAATTTTTTCAAGTATCCTTAAGTTTAATACAAATAATATAATAACTAAATGCTATTCGCATTATATTCCTAATTTAATTGTTTTGCATGCTTTCTGCAATTAAATTGTGGATTTTTATTGCTTGTTACTATCGTCCGACTTGTTACTGTCCACTAAAGGTTGAATTTTAAAATCGAACGGTATAATGTTTATTTTTCAAGGTTGAAAAATACACATATGCTTCAGTTAGTGACAGACGCAAAACTCTATACCATATAAGCTAAACGACCTATCTTATGAGATCGCAATGTAAATGAACACTAACCTCTGCTTCTACCGTCTGTAACGTGTGATATTCGTGGGATAGGAACGAGTAACGTGATTGTTCTCTTACAACGCAGGGTTGCCAGTCTCGATACTTTGTAGTAATTATAAAATAAACTAAAAGGGTAAAGTTCATATTAATAAGTCCATTGGTAACACAAAAATTTAAAAATTTAAATAAAATGGGGTGAAACACTCTGATATCGAAAATGAATTCCTTTAATGAAATTAAACCCATAAATAACAGAATGAAATGTCGCCATTTTTATAATCTTGTGTAGAGCTTTTAATTTCTATCACCTCACGCATACTGGGTGAAAATCTGCTATTGTACATAAAGTTCAACACTTTGCGGAAGTCAACTAATAACAATTATTCACGAACATTTTTTGTGCTAACCTATTTCGTATTATGTGTTGACGATTCTTGTTTTCTTATGTTACCCTTAACCCTTTACGCACTTGCCTTGCATGTCATTCAATCATCGCTCGATCTACTTCCCGTTACAGTCACGTCAAACCCCACCTCCCCGAATTTTGCATTAGTCGCCACTTTCTCCCTCTCCAAAACAGAGGGAGTGCGGATAACTGCCCACATTTCTTAATCGGTCTAGCCTTGTGGATCCTTACACCTAGTGACTAACCCTACTTCTTAACAACTTTTTTAATGACTTCTTTAGAGGAAGTTGAAGGCTCTTTACTCCTGACCACAATCGACCAGTTCTAAACAGGCCTCGGCGTCACCGGTCGACTTCAGTACAGGTGCTGGAGGCGCAGGCATATCGGCTCCAAACACTAAACTGCTCAACTCCCCGGTGATGCGCAACATGAATGAGCACATTGCGATAGTACCAAAGGTACAGTACAAAATAAATAAAAATACGCACTTACCGCTACTCAGTGCCAGCCATGCCGTAAAATGCGTCAGATTCAGAAAACAATGAATCGTGAAATCGGAAGTTAAATCCACTAAGAAATCAAGACATTCTACTACTAACTTTGACAAGACCCTAAGAGGCTTCCGTGATTTCAAATGCACTAGGCTATATGTATTTGGATATAAACATATTCCTTATCATCAGCACACTCCTTGCCAGAATAAAAAAAGCTTTCTTTAATTGCTGCGATTTCCTCTCGGAAGACACTGCAGTGGTCTGGTAGACGGTAAACGATCCCTGTGCCCTTGACCCCCTCGACCCTTTTCCACTCTTCTCTGGAATGAAAATCAATATTGGGGACCGATTTTAAATTCAATTCTGTAGTATTTCAAAAATCGGTAGTATTGGGTACAAACAAGAGCTTTCTAAGTATCATACAATGCGCCTTGCTAGTGGCGACTAATAGGAAGGATTCCCTCAGTCAAAGAGCTGACTTCGCTCCCAGTTGCTTACAGAACAAGTCCGTTCACAGAAGTGTAAAACTACGTTAAGTACCTGACTACGCGTTGTTCTGAGAGCTCCACTGGTGCAAATACTATTTGCTCTTTGTATGCTTTCCATACTTCTTACCGCATATTTATTTTCCGTTATTGGCCACCATACCAACCCACCGTAAGTCATAATCGGCTTAACAACTGCCGCGTAGAGCCAGTGAGCTACCCGAGCCGTTAATCCCCATCCTTTTACACGTGTAAGTTGCTATAGCTGCTTTCTTTATGCTAGCGTCTAAGCTTGGTTTTCATTAAAGCTTCTTATCCCCAAGTGGCTTGCCTTATCTCTTATTGCTAGCCTGCTTGAAAGCGCCTTCTATGTCTATGAAGGCTACGAAGATGTATTTTTTTACCTCCAGAGATTTTTCAATCTGCCACTACCGAACTTTGTGTTGTTTCTTTGGATGTTCCTTTAGTCTATTCGTCTTTTCAACGTTTTTAAGAGGAATGAGGAAAGACTAATTGATCTGAAATCCTTTGGACTAGTTTGTGAGCTTTTGCCCACCTTTGGTGTGTATATTACCTTGATTTGAGCTATCTCACTTCTCTTCTCCTTCGGAAAGTTTTGCTTAATTAATTTGGTTTCTGCAGTTTTTCTGTAAGTTCTTAAGCCTCTGGAGGCCACCATGAAGGCCTTATTCTTCCCCTACTCCTTGTTATTGAACAAACCACCTCCAGTGCTTGCAGGCAAGAATCCGTGAACTGTTTAACGAGCATGTCCAGATCTTTTGTGTTCTCGGGTTGCAATGGTGGATTCATAGGAATACGTTTTTGTACTACTACCTGTACCCTACCTACATTTTCTTCAATCATTGGGTTTACTTGTATATCAGTTCTTCCGACATGAGTGTTATGTCTAATACCTCCTTGTCGGTTTCTTGTTATAAATGTTAGCATCTACCTCTGTTGCATAACAAAAGCTATAAATAGTAAATAGTTAACCCAGTTCCGGCGACACCTAGATCTGCTGCATTGATTTTATTTAAACTTTATATTTTGCTTATAATGAAAACCACTCGACGGTTTGAATTTTTTTTTAGATTTTTGCATTTTGCCCACGGGAATGTGGTCGAAAAGCCGACCATCAGCCGAAAACAATACTCACTAATGTAAAACAGTGTGAGTTTTTATCATTTATTTTGTTCGAGGACTCAATTTCACATTACATTTTATCCAAATAAAAAAGGAGATACATAGCAGAAGTAAGTTTTAAAAGACTTTTATTAAAAGTTTAATATCTTAACTTCATATTTCGTGGAATTCATTGAAACACAAAACATACAATACTACATCGCATTGGGTGTATTTATAAGACAAATGATTGTGACAATTTTGACAACGAAGGGGCTTCTCTAATTTGTCAATGGATTTTCGAACAGCTGTTGACTGTGAACGTCTCGGAAGTCGAAATTGACGGTATTGCCATTCGAAGAAAACTTTTTGCAACGTAAATACGGAACTGTAATTAATCAAATTTTTCTGTTTTTTGTGGCATAGATCTTTCAGTGGTGCATGACATTCCCTTCTCATATTTGAGGAGAGTACAATGAATCTGCCAAGCGTTCACCATTGCGTTATCCAATCCTTTTTTTTATGAGTGGCCAATACAACTTTTTGCCTCGAACACGAATTTAATAATTGTTCATGGTATTATCGAAGAGATCAACGCCATCCATTCGATTATTGTATGCCCATACGCTGTATGGCATATCAACATAGCCGCCTTTCCATCGCTTCATACGATGCAGAAGTTCAATTGCTTCATGATTCGATGCAATGGTCACGACAGAATTGTCGTTCCAGCAGATTATTGTTTCGATCAAACGTGTAGTCTAGCCAGCCACGTCCTTTCTTCATAGATGATAAGATGTCATTAAGGTTTCGTATTCAGGTTTTCGATTCTCATTTAAACCGCTGTATGGAATAAACGAATACAAATGCAGGGGGGCGTTCCTGCGAATCACACTGGAAGACTTGTTCGGGCTCGTGGACAACAACCGACTAACTGCCTGCCTGGAAGGGTTTCTTTTTATATTCATGACCTAGGAAACTTTGAAATAATTCTATTCTGGAAACATCTAGAAAGGAAGTTCTCGATTATTCTATGACTTGTAAACAAGTTTTCAGTCGATTTTTAAATTTACTGCTCCGTAATCACGAAAAATTATATGCATATAAGGCGACTCCCCGTCTTGTATGCTTGGATTATGATACTTATTACGTTAAATTGTTCGTAAAAGTACGCTGTAATCAATAACGTCCACAAATAATTTTCTGTTGAATTTATAGTGTATTAATACATTGGAACATTGGAGTTCACCAGAAAGATAAATAATGAAATGGAGATGTGAGTCGTATTGTTTTCGGCTGGTGGTCGATTTATCACCCAGGGCATTTTGCACATTCGTCATTATTCTATACTACAACCAATCTGGTGTCAAAAACATTTCGCGTAAAATATGCGACAAACATCACAATATATCAGAAGTATTATTTTTTGCAAAATTTTTAAACAAATATTAAATTTAATTTAAAAAAAATGTGGGAAAACAGGTCTTTTGATAATCTGGTAAAATTAAAAAAAAAAAAATAAATTATCGCGGCAACAGTTTTTGTTAAGCAACATGACATACAAATATTGCCTCGAGGTTATAATTTGTTCATTTTCGACTCGGCGATTTTGTTTACTTTTAATCATTTGCTTCGGAGTCAATAACGGTACTTATAACGCTTTAAATATGCCTACTGTGTGTTAATTTTTTCTTTGAACTTAAGTAAGCATTTACTTTGTTTTAATGTAAGTTATTGTGTTGACTAAAGTAACAAATTGAGATTTTATCAATATTTAAAAAATTATTTATTAGAATTTATATCTTTAAAAAAATAATAACTTTTTCATGTAAACCCCAGTTGTATGCTAATTTTTGACGCTGACTGTATCTACTTGTATATGTACAAGTACATACAAGTATGTTAACTAAAGTATAGTGAAATTAAATTCAATGAAGACTCGGACCACGATAGCGTCAACATAACTCCAGCACTCATTGACCGGAGCAACTCTCGGGGCAAATTACTCAAAAGACCCGGACACCCTTTGCTAACTGTCAATGGTGCGGGTAAGCCAGCCCGGGGTAAAAATTCTAAAATGCTAAGACGACCCTTCGCTGCTATGGGAAAAGGAATTTGCGAAGTTTCAAGGGAAGTGTGGGAGAGCGTTGGACAGTGGACAGTAGCTGGATTCCGACCATTCCGAAAGAGAAAATGATCATACCTCGCGAGGTAAAACCGGATGATGCACTGTGGCTCCTCAAAGGATAATGTCCTGATTTGCCGACGAAAGATTGGATGGTGCTAAAGGTCATCAAGTCCGGTAAGGAGGATGGCAGCCTGAACTATAACTGATCTTCGTCTTCAAAAATGTGTTTGATTACTTCAGCTTCGTTCTCATGTTCAAGCGCTTCAACTTTAACACCAGTTTCCTACATTTCTCCAAAATGTGGGACCGCCGGGGGATTAAAAAAGTTATTTGTTAATTAGCCACTTTATCTTTCCTTTTGGTTGGTTTATAAATACAGAACCTTTTAATGTCTGTATTTTTAACGGCTTTTTATATATATCGCCTGTGTGAATAACTTTTATTTTTGCTATTTGAATAACAGGACTTTTTATATTGCCTATATTTTTAACAGGCCTTTTTTTATTGTACAAGGCGAAAGAAAAAAGATTTTACCCACCCTATTACACATATATTTAATTAGATAAGTTTATTTTGAAAATTGTATTAAAGAACAAGAAAAATCATAATAAAATCGGAATGAGTTAATTCTCACTCAATGAAAGGTTTTTAATTTTTCCCACCAGTGGTAAGAACTTAAAGTTACTTTCTTGAGTTTATAATACCTATGGGCCTTTTATAGAGCTCAGGCAATATAATAAGACCTGTACTAAAAATACAGGCAATATAAAAAATACCTTTATTTAAAAAACAGGCAAAATAGAAAAATTCCTCTACAAGCAATATATACATTTTGGTCTATCGTGTTTAAAAAAAAGAGCTCAGCCAAAGTATAAAAATAATCCTGTTAAAAATACAGGCAATAAAAAGTCTTATACTTATTAAACAGGGTAGGTTAAGTTAGAGGGTCGATTCTCAGAAGGATCACACTTGCACAGCTTAAACGCCGGTCCGTTGTGGTACCCAAAACTCCTATGAGCTGGATCAATAGACCCTTATATGTCGACAAAGCGCTTTGTGAGATGGCCAATATCTATTTCAGCCAAATCTTCTGGTCCGCCAAAAGTGTGATTGCCGATATGTTTCAGCCTCAGCCTAGCAAAAGCCGGACAGTGGAGGAGAAAGTGCCGGGTCACCCTCCTCCTTACAGTTTTGACAACTAACATCGGATAGTATTCTAAGCCGCACCGCATGACTTTCTATTGGAACAGGCAGTATATGGAAAAAACCCTTTACAGGAAGTATATAAATTTTGGTCCATCGAGCTTAAAAAAAAAAGCTCATACAAAATTAAAAAAAAAAAAAAACCTTATTTTTGCATTTTTTTCCTATAATTATTTTCGTTCTTCAAATACCTATATAATGTTGACAGCACATTGGGCTACAAAAAACTTTTCTATCTTATGTCTGACGCCATCTTAATATGATTTAATTTTTATGCACATACATATCGTCTCGTAAAATCCAAAATATCGTACCATCAAAAAATTTAAATCAATTTTTTTTGTTGATTAATTTATTATACAAATATGTACAAATTAAAAAAATTTCTCAATATGCGTATTTTATCTATTTTATGCCGTTTTTTCCTTTTCTGTAAACAAGCGATGTTAATTTATTTTACACGATTTTAAAAAACATAAAAGCTATTCGCTTTGTTACGTTTCCTTGCTTTCCCATTGAATAATTTAAGGAATAATCCAACATAATTTTGTGCCATTCTGGCTGTTTGACATTTTCTACTCTTAAATAGACGAAGTTATGTTATATAGAAAACTCTATGATTTGTATTCCAATGGTTTCATCCTCATATAATACGTTTGGTATATTAAATCTATTTAATTTAAAAATTAGTATTGTTCAATATAAGCTAAGCCATATCTTTGACATATCTTAAATGTATTTGTAGGGCTCATATGGGCTAGTTAAACTAGCTTACTCAGAAGAGGACTCAACTCATTACGCAATGAAAATTCTTTCGAAACGTCGATTGATAAGACAAGCAGGATTGACTAAGCGTGGCCTAATTAAACCAATTTCACCATTAGAGAGAGTTTATCGAGAAATTGCCGTGTTAAAGAAATTAGATCATCCAAACGTTGTAAAGTTGTTCGAAGTGTTAGATGATCCGATGGAAGACTCGTTATATATGGTTTTTGAACTAGTAAAACAGGGATGTGTTTTGACCATCCCAACAGATTCACCGTTAGCTGAAGATAAAGCTTGGATTATTTTTCGGGAAACTCTACTTGGTTTGGAATATTGTAAGTTATATAAAACAAATAATATTCAAATTTAAGTTTTTATATTTAATTAGTGGTTTCAGTATGGAAAGATTTTCCAAACAAGCAAATAATTTTTATGATCTCACAACATGTTTCACAGAGTACGTTAATTTTGTTCACCTAACAAAACTAATCGATGTAGATAGTTATACAGAGTTATATAAATAATGAGAATCACGATACGAGTTGAATTTCGGGAAACTGTCTGTCAGTCCACCGTGCGTCCCACTGATGCATATACTGCCTGCTCTCTGTAGGCTTTCCATACGCCTCGCTGCGTATTTCGTTTACATTATTGGCCACCATACCAATATACCGTATGTCATGATCGGTCTAACAACTACTGTGTAGAGCCAATGAGCTACCCGAGGCGTTAACCCTCTTTTGGGCCTACTATCATTTTGCAGGTGTAAAGTGCTGTAGCCGCTTTCTTCACCCTAGCGTCTAAGTTTGCTGTCCATGAAAGCTTCCTGTCTAATATTAGTCCTACGTATCTTGCCTTATCTCCAATTGTTAGTCACCGTCACTATAACTTCTGGAGTATTCTGTTTCAATAATATAATATTACTTAACGTTGTTAGGAGGAATGAGGTGAGACTAATGGGTCTAAAATCCTTAGGACTTGTACGTGAGCTTTTGCCCGCCTTTGGTATATATATTACCTTGACTTTCCTCCATATCGAAGTAATATACATAGTTTAATTGCAGAGCCCCTCTAAGAATGGTTGTTATCCTAGTTATTATGTAGTTCTGGGACTGCTGTAACTGAACCGGAAATAAACCGTCAGGTCCCGGCGATTTGAAGGGCTTGAAGCTTTTTATCGGCCAATATACATTGCTTTCTGACACTATATCTATAGGAGAGGAATTTATTTCTAGTCCACTTTTATGAATATGCTCCATTGTATGGCTTTCAGAGCTATTAGTAAGCCTAAAGAGTCTTCATAGATACCGCCCAGCTATGCGCCAATGCTATGTACCAATTGTGCGATTATTTTCCTAAGTCGAGACGCTTCTGCCGTATTCTCGATATTATTACAAAAATGTTTCTAAGAATTTATTTTATGCTTTCCTAACCTCTTTTTGGTCTGACCTTAGGAGGTTGTAATAACTATTCCAATCTTCCTCGCCTTGGGATAGTTTAGCTAAATTAAACTGTTTCCTGCAATATATCTCTCTAATTTTTTAAGTTCGGGGGACCACCATGGGAACCTAACTCTACCCCTACTACGTGTTATTGCACATGCTATAACGATGTAACATAAAGCGTTAAGGTTTTTCTTTGCAATTATACATGCCTTGAACTTGCCTTCGCAATTAGCCATATATAGCTTGTAGTTCAATGTCCTCAATCCACAAATACGTGGTGACAAGCTCAGGCTGTTCTATTACCGCGCTGTTCATTAGGGCTACTGAAGCTGGTTTGCTGTGATGGAGATTAATTTGAAGCAGACGGATTTACTATTTTCCTATCTGCGTCGTCTTAAGAGTCGCTCAGGAGCTCTCTTTCAGTATATAGTTTAGAGAGTCTGTCTTCAAGCTCAGACCCCGAATAACAGTGAAGTCGTCACTCGAGGACTCCATAAGGTCGTCTACAACATCGGCGTCCGACTTTTAGGTAATTTTTTAACCTTTTTGAATCTATGGTCAATCTCCCCGTTACTTTTCGTCAGTGGTTCTATGGATTCTTTTGTTAACAGCAGCAGAATCTGCATGGATGCTCGTTTCGTCTCCATACCAGATTCCGCTGCGGGGGTTTTCGAAGACTTTGAGCAATCTCCATCCCTATATTGGCAGATTCGGGAGCCATACTCTTGGCTTTAATCAGGGCTATCCTTCTTACCAACCGCTACCAGCCTGGTCCCGGCGAAAACCTTCCCTACCATGGCTATTGCAGGCATCTGTGCATGACGGTGGCGGACCTGGATTGCTTAATAGCATTTTCAGCGCCACATTTTCCAGAGCAGCTTGCACCCATTTCCATTGGGCTCTGGGAAATTATCGTTTGGGATCTCCCATCTAGCACATCAATGATAATGCGGTTTCGGGCCACGGTTTCGGGCTTACAACGTTATTGTGGTATCTATTACCAGTCGACACCCTCGGGAAGTGTTCAGCGGGGGATTTTTGCAAACCATAGTTTTTCTGTTTCCTTACTAGTATAGGACATCGGACTACTACAACCATGCCTACTTTCCACATATCATAATTTTAAATTTCAAATATGTTATACTTTCCTTTTAGAGTATATTAGTTAAGCACAAATTAAGTTATGGGAGTAAACCTTGTACAAATAGTGTCTTATCAAGTGTACCGAACATGTGGATCTCAGTGTCTATGGCTGACTTTTTGCCGAAAATATCGGTGGATCTGGTTGATAATAATTTCAAAAATTACTGTATTGTATATATCGGTCAATCAATTTGTGAGATATTTTAATAAAATTCAGACACTTATTTTTGTTATAATAATAGTCGTAATGTCCAAAATGGATAAAATCTGTTCAAGCCGACATATCCTTATTATAGGAATTTTCAATCTTCCCTTTGACTTTAATGTATCGGTCTATTTGTGAGGTATCTTATTGAAATTCAGAGAGAACCTTTTGCTGATAATAATTTGAATTTCTACCTATGGTCTAGTGTAGATCGAGAAAAGTTGTACCGATTGCTTTAGAATTTTGCTTATTGAGTTTAGTTCCAAGAAAGATGTAGTCAGTCACATCCCAAAAATTCAAAGATCCGTTAGCGACTTTCAAATATATGGTATGCTATTTTATTTATAAGGTCATGTGCGAATATAACACTTTTCAGTTAAAAACTAAAATTCGCTTTTTGTCTGTTTTGTAACGACCATATTATTGTCATTGAGAAGAAAGGAAAGAAATAGAGAACTGTGTATCATTTTCTAAACCAGTTAAAGAAGCTACCTAAGCAGTGTAGTCTGTGTATCTATAATCAGCTTTATTTAAGTTATCAAAAACCAAATAAACAAGAAATTTGGATATCTTGAAAATGACGCCTTGTTCACCATCACAAGTCCTTCTAGTACTTCTTCATAAAGTGATAAAATGGATGCATTTGGATGATGAACACCTTAACGGTTATGTCCACAATTTTTAAAACCGATTAATTTCATAGCCAAGTAGACGATGGACGTGAAACCGACCATTTAGGTGAATTCCTATATCTCTGGAACTGCTCGACTAATTACAACCACATTTTATGTGTTTTGGATCGTTGTTTATGTTGAAAGCTACTAAATGTGTGTTAATGCGCTAAAGAAATGCGTCAGAAACATTTTTACAGCAAAGAGTTTAAATGGGACAATTAAACAAAAGCTTCGGATTCCAGTAAATAGCATGTGCTTCCATTAGCAGCACCAATAGCCATCCTATATGCAAAAAATTAAATAGAAGTAAAAATCTATTTTTTTTGCTTCAGAAACTTGAAAATAGGGTTTATTTTCACGGTATAAACTCATTTTTGACAATTTGTATTTTCTATATTTTGTGTTAATTGCTATAAATAACTTTTTTTACGACGTTGTGTAAAATACTTGTAGATCTAGGAGGAAGTCATCTAAATTTGTTTAATTCCCATATTGCATTCCAATAACAATAAAAAAAACATTAACTAGTTTAATAAACAGAAAGTTATAACGGAAAGAGTTGATTATATTGATGTTGTATGTTTGGATTCTATGGCAATTGTATATTTTGCGTAATACGGCAACATACCGATTCCAATAACTTCTTTAAGTGATCACTAGATCATCGTATCATAATTGAATTGTATATGGGTGTATGTATGAGTATGTACACATATGTATATTATCAAATTCGATCACAGCAGAAGGTTCACTTAATATGTTTCAATTTCATAATCATAATTCTCCAAAATCAGGAGTACTAAATAAAATAGGGATTTCTTTACATATTTTATTTTTCCACTGTTCTTAATTTATATTAAGATATTCAAAACTCGTGGTGTTAAAAATCCTGAATTGCGGCTGTATGTATAATATGAATAACTGAAGTTATGTGCAGTCGGCATTTAAAAACATTCTAAGTTCTTACTTAATTGTAAATATTTCCGCAACCTTTCTTCTAACGCATCCAACACCTAATTAAAGTGTAAAAAATAGTTAAATTGATTAATTTGTGTATTTTTTTAAAAGCTGTCTGCTACTTCTTCTACTTACGAATTTAAAACTCTATCCGCGCAACCAAGCCAAGAATAAAAAGGTGATTTTGAATCTACCATCCAGGGCTATCAGAGATTTCTGTTAAAGTTTCTAGGAGTTTCTTAAGACCCCAGTTCGATCTCTGGGTTGTTAAATAAGTCCCAATTTAATGGCTATTCACTTATCTTTATTTCTAAGCCAAACAAACTAACGTTTTACTACTCATTATACGGCAACACTCTAACTAGAACTGTCTTTGCTGCACAATCCAGCAGCCCTTATATAGTAGATTGTTAACAAAACTTCGCCACCAGAACATTGCGGCATTTATGAATTACTATCTAGTTGATTCGATAATTCTGACTGATTGACGACAGCCTACTTAATAAAATCTTTGATTTAACTTCTCCAAGGTTGTCGTGCTCCGCTCTGCCCAATATGATATTGCGACTGAGCTTTCTGCAGCTATTTCTCCACTTGTTTTACATTTGTTCAACTCCACGTAATGCATTAACCTTGCAATTCTGGATCTTCTTCACTCGTTTTAAGCTATGTTGACATACTTGTATGCTCTCCATGCGCGTTCAACAGTAGTAACATACGCTCCACATAACGCGTTAAAGGTAGCCAAAACAACTTCTGTTGAACATTGAGTATCTTCCTTTTCTTGTGTTATCGTTGTTCCTTCCCCTAATTCCAATTGAAATACATATTCGTCAATATTAACGTTTCCATGGTCTTTCGCAACCGTGACTGTAAGTCGGCCTATATTCCATTTGTTGCCAAATCACGTTGCTGCAGCTTCTTTTTTATATATATTAAATTTTTACATCTTGTAAAGAGTGCAAATTAATATGTTAAAACGATTTCCAAGCTACATCCTTAATGTAAATTTTGTTAAAATGCTATTTAATTTGTTAAAACGATTTTCCAAACCAATAAATTTCAAATTTGAAACTCTTTTCCATCTTATCAGCATCTTCATTTTTATTCGGGAATTAGCACCAAATTTAATAATGATTGATAAAGAGTTAATATATCAAGTTAAAACTATTTTATTTTCCTTTTTTCAGTACACTATCAACACATTATCCATGGTGATTTGAAACCGGAAAATTTGTTGCTCACTGAATGCGGGCACATTAAAATTGCCGATTTAGGGGTGTGTAACGAATTTTTCGGTGAAGATGCAATGATAAGTAGTGGGAGTACGGCAGGCACTCCAGCATTTAGAGCACCAGAATCACTAAGACTCGGACGGGTAAGAAAATTTGTACTAAACATATTTTTTTTAATATGAGTTTAAGAACAAAAATGTAAATTAAGTAGTAATAAAGTTAATCGAATTGTATTTTTATAAAATTTTGTAAAAAGAAAAACCTTCATAAGGCAACTATAACATTTTTTAGCACAGGTAATTTAATATAAATGTTATTAAATGTAAATGTACAACATATTGGTACAGAGTATAATAGTTTAAATATATAAATAAATGGTCACGATAACAAGACGAATTGAAATCCGGGTGACTGTCTAGCTGTCTATCCGTGCTGTAACTTCATGAACCTTGGAACACATGATCCTTTGCACCATAAGAAGTCTGGTATTGTACATGGGCGTAATCGGTCCCCCGCCACGCTCACAGAACGCCAATAATCGAAAACCTATAAATTGCCATAACTAAACAGCAAATTAAGAGCAACGAATCGCAATAATGGGGGCCCCTTTGAACTTAAACTCATTAAAAAGGGGGCGTGGCACAGCTACATAACTATAATTTGCACAGGACAAATCCCTTATACACCTCTCACCACTGCGTAAAAATAGGTGAAATCGGATAATAACACCGCTCACCCTTCATATAACAGTTTGTTAAAAACCACGAAAACTGCGATAAATCAATAATTTATTGCGTCAAATACGTTAATATTTACACCCGTGATGGTGCAAGAGCACATATCTCCGGATCTATCAACCAATGTGAACCAAATTTGGTACATCACATTACACTTGGGTGCACTCCTATGTTACAGTGTGAAAATTTGCGAAATCGGACTACAACCACGCCTACTTCCCATATAACACAACCTTAAATTCCAACTGATTATTTCACTTTTCAATAAACAAATCAAGCACCAATGAATATATCTATGGCATATACAAACTTTGCACAAATAGTGCCTTTAATATTAGTCATCTCTCTCGAGTGTAAAAATTATCAAAATCGAACCAGAACTGTTCAAGACGAAAATATCGGCCAAAGTGAAAGATATACAATTGAACTTCGGAGAGAATCCCTTTCTGAGAATAGTTACTTCAGAAACAATTATTGCAATTTATAAGAACAAAGTATAATGTTCTGTAATGCATCTGAAATATTTTTGACATTGCATCATGTGTTAAAACCCAATAAACCGGCAGTCGATGCGCACTGAGAAAATCGCGCATCACAAATAAAGTCGACGCTTTTTGACATTATGCAACGATTGTAAAGCTTGGTATTAGTTGGTTTATTAAATCGTACTAAATTTGCATTAAATTCTGAGATTATGGCCAATAATGTAGTTATGATAGCAAGATTATAATATATGTTGTGCTTGTATTTTCGATGAAACGGTCAAAATTATTTATAATTAAACTATTTGGTTTTAATTTTAACATTTTTTATATTTATACGCTCGCAAAAAACACAGCTTATTGCTAATGTAAACTTTGCAGTAAAAGTGTTCTGTAACGTCAAATTATACAACGCATTATTTTGCAAAGTTGTTTGACGTTGCATACCGACGATGTATAAATACTGTAGTCATACTGTAGCGATACTTTGCAGTAGTACGTTTTCGAAGTCAGCCTACGTCTGTGTGTCAAAAATAGCTTGATAGCCATAGATTTAATAGAAATATTTTCGAATTTCTGGTTGACTTTATACCGAATATATCTAAGTTACCTCAGTAAAAGTGAGTAAGCGTGTTTTTCTAATAACGGTGTATCTTTGAGCCCAAAATGGAAAAAAGCGGGTGAAAAGTTGCCCTAGCTCCATATAACATATATCAGTAGTTTTAAACTTCCGGTTGACTTTACTCCTTATACAATATATTGGTATGTGAGGTACCTTAAATAAACTCAGAGAGCATCTTTTTCTATTAACTGAACGTAAAATGTTTGATATACTATAGTTTAATGCCGAAAATATGTGAAATTGTATTATACTACACGTTTCATTTTTCGTTATTCTAACAAATCTTCTGCCGAATATGTCGGTCAGTGTGCGAGCTAATTATTTATGATCTCGAACAATCAGCCCACACCTTTTCTGTCCTCAATATACCCTATATAGTGATTTCCAACTTCCCAACTGACTTCTAAGTGAACAAGTTTTCCTAAAAATTATGTGAGGTGTAGACCTTGGTCTAAACCTGAAATCCCTAATATTATATATTGAATTCCGATTCTCTGGTTAACGTTTTTCACATCAGCTCAATATCATAAATACTCAATATAATAAATTTTATTTTGATCGATTAGTTTAGATAGTGGAGCTGCGACTACATAAACAAGCAAAGAATACATAAAAAAACTGTTCTTGAAAATCTTTGAATCACTATTAGGGAAGTTGCAGAGGATGTTGGCATATCGATCGGCTCATGCCATTCAATTTTCTCGAATGTTTTACATATATATCTTTGGTTGAGTTAATATCACATACATCACATTTGAAGATGTTTTTAATATACTTTTAGCTAACGCAAAGTAAAATATAACAATAAAACTAAGTAAGTCTATTACCTATAAAAATAATTTAGTAAAATAACACTTGCAAGTTGCAAGAGTATAAAATGTTCGCTTACACCCGAACTTAGCCCTTACTTACTTGTTATATATTTTTCTCTTCAGTACATTGATAAGACCTCTGGGCATTAAATTCACAAGTTTCTGTATCCTCTGTAAAAATTTTCGCCATTTCTTTCAGTATATCCTTAATGTTATAGAATGTTTTCGGATATTTGGGGTGATTATCCTGCTGGAATCAAAAACTCTGTTCCATCCCCAGTTTCTGAGCTCTTTGCAGTATAATATTTTGTTAAATTTGTATATCTATCTGGTCTATCTGGTCCATTATGAAAACACTAAATGTGAGGTTTCCAACATCGTTGGCTGCCATACAACCTCAAACCATAACACCGCTTCCACCATGTTTTACGCTTGGTACCATATTTTTTTCAGATACCTTTCTCGTTTTCTCCAAATCAATTTCTTCCCTTTTATCCCAAACGTAGCTCGGATATATATTGCAATGTCTTTTTTTAGCACCGTATTGCATTAATTTATAAGAGCTCTTTATGTATGTGAATAGGGACTTTTGTATCATCATATAAATTTTAATCAATTTTAAAGCTATGGTATTGCAGATTCTAAGCTGAACATGGAAACATCTTGCGAAACATTCCTTTTCAATATCATTATAAAACACATGATTATTAACAAACACACATAATTCCAAAGAAAATTCCAAATAATTTAATCCAAATAAAAAAATATAATAATAATAATTTAGTTTTTGTGTCAACTATGACTGTAAAACAGTACGAAAATAATTAGTGCACTTGCTGAAACAAAGTTTGAAAGCTCACAAGTGAGCGAATATTGAGAGCAAAACAAAATAAAGAAAACCAATATTCCATTGATTTTTAGTTGTAAAAAAAAATAAAGAAATTTGGGGGGATTCGAAAATATATGATTTCGCTGAAACTCCACCAAATTCGCCATTTCTCCCACTATGCAGCGTGAGCACCCATGTTTTAACAAACCATGTTTCAAATTTATTTCCAGAATATACATCAAAATTGTTAATCATGGTCTTTATGGTAAATAATTTTCAAATATAAAATTAATATTATATACATATAATATATGCTCTCTGTATTTGTTGGATTTTAATTGCTGTTTATAGTAAAAAATATTTAAATTTAACAAGTTTATAGTTTATAGTAAAAAATATTTAAATTTAACAATATAAGAAATATGTTTAGTTTACTTTTATTACAGAACACACTTAATGTAATATTTAGCTATTTAAATAAAGTGGTAAAGGTATTCAACAGAATCGCTGTCGTATCGAAATGTGGTGTGGGCGATGATCCAATTCTGCTCCAGTGTACTACCTCCATTGTAGTACCGAAAATATAATTTTTTATAAGTATAAACTTTGTTTGTATACTTTGTTTCAATATCTGATGTTGCTAAAAATTGAAGAATATTTTCAACAGCATGATTATTAATACAGGAGAAGACATATACATACATATTATATATTCATCTCAACCCCAAATCAATAATGTAGCCCAAATTTTAAACCACTGTTATGGGTTTGCTTGTTTCATTTCAGCATTTCTTTTGTGGGAAAGCTGCCGACATTTGGTCTTTGGGTGTAACTCTTTACGCTCTGGTTTATGGAAACGTACCATTTATTGCAAATTCTATTCCAATTTTATATGAAAAAATTAAATTGGACCCTCTTGTACTTTTAGAAGAGCCAAAAATTAGTGAACAACTTCAGGACTGCATTCGAAGAATGTTAATAAAAAATCCTGATTCCAGAATTTCTTTACAGCAACTTAAAGTTAGTAAAATTTTTATTAATTAATAAATAATAAAATTACAAATGTCAAGTAATCATGTATATATATGGGTTTCAGGAACATACTTGGATAACTAAAGAAGGTTTGCACCCATTAGCAAATGAGGGTGAGAACTGTGACTTGGTTAAGGTTAGTGAAGAAGACATCAGTACAGTTGTGCAGAGTATTCCAAAACTAGACACACTGATTTTAATTAAAACGATGCTGAAAAATCACTCCTTTGGAAACCCATATGGTAGCGAAATTTTGCATAAATCACATCCACGTGATATAACTCGTTATGAACAATTTGTTCGGGCTGGCCGCTCTAATTCTGCTCCTGGGTCATACACACAGCAGTAAGTTTATTTTTTAATTAATTTTGTATATGTTTGGTTTTTCGAAACTCAGATTTCGATGAGACTGTAAATTGTATTTATAGGAGTTAAATCAGTATTACTTGTATATAAAATCTACAGTTTCTTATTAACTTTTTCGAATATGCGGCGAAGCCTCGCTTCTCTGCCTCTGAATATATATTATGAAATATAATATACTTCTTTGATAAGGAAACTTATGGCCACATTTTTTACAATAGAAAACTCAGTTACTTATCTCCTAATGATGCGGTCTTATTTAACCATTCATCAATGGATTTTTAAAGTTCCTACTAATAGCAGCTCTACAAGAAAACAACTAATTAAAGATATAATTATTTTTGTATCACTTATACATACATATAGGACATTTATTAGTAAGACAGTCAGTGGTACGTCATGGAACAATACAGTTATATACTTCTCCAAGTTCTATTGCCTCAGCTACAACTTCATCATTCTCAAAAATTATGTGGGATAATATATGGACAACAAGAATGGGTAGAACATTCCGATGTTTCGTCAAGAGTGAGTTTAAGGTGTAGTCAATGAGGGCTAGTAATATAAGATAGTAGTATAATTAAGTATTGTAAATAACAGCCTTCGTAGAATTTTGTGTATAATAAAATATACAAGCGTTAGTAGTCATAGTTAAACGTAAAACCCACTTTATTTTTACTATTGTCATAATCAGTTTATTACATATTTTTATTCAAAACGTTTTTTTTAGTTTTTATTAGTAGATCTATTGTGTTAATTTAAAATATTATTATTTCATGCAGAGTTTACCTTGAGGTCATTATTTAATTGATTTTGCTCGAAAATCGTATATATGTAGGAACATGCCATATACATATGTGTAGATCAATGTATTTATGTTGCACATATATCTGCGATCCCGAACAGCTCATATTTCGTTGAAAAAGTGTGCAGCCGGTTTCATGGAACAAATTTTCAACAGTTTTTATAAAAATTTAATTAATAAAAAAATTGTTGATACATAGTTTTTAAATTTAAAGCTCTTGTTTTATTTTTAAATTTATTTTAGCAATGATTCTCAGTTAAACCATCATAACATTCTCCGTGGAATGTCCGTTGTACTAAAATTTTACCTAGTACGAATTCGGTTAACCGATTAAAGTTAGAATTAAAAAAATTATTTAAAATTGTTCTGCAACATATTAAATAAAATTTGATTACTCCCTCAGCTATATTTGCTATTCATATAACTAATTAAGTTCGTATTTAATTTTTTTAATTCTAGTGACATGGATGATAATGGAAAGCTACGATCACTTACAGAACCAGAAAGGGGAAATCATATACATTAATGACAACATTAATTATTGCATATGCACATATAAGAATTATTATGTACACATTTTGAATTTCTTGATCCGAACTTAAACACATTAACAATGCAAACGTCAGAAAGTAGCTTATTGTGATTTTTTACAATAAATTATTATTATACAATAACGATAGCAAAAAACAAATAAATTTACATTTATTAAGAATATTAAAAATGTAGGTCAATTTATAATTTGTGAGGTACTCCATACTGCCTATTGCTGCTTTTATAAGTCTTGGCATGGATTTCACAAAATTTATCGTAGAGTAAGCAATTTTGCTTTATTTTACTTGCTGGTTTCAAGTCTGCTTAGATTTAATTGGAGGCGATCAATTCTAAATAAGCCAACTTTGCACCATGCCGGTCTTGTGTTTCAGATCATTGTCTTGAAATAACGAATACTTAATTTGGAAGCACTCTTCAGCAAATTGCGTTTTTACCATAAATGAACGAATATACACTCTTATGTACTGTACCATAGATGAAATAAAAATTCAGAAGACGACATTCACCCTCTCACATGCACTGCAATAATATTTATATTGCTTTTGTACCGGTATTCTAGAAGCTTTTAGTCTTATTTAAAAGCCTGTTGCATACTTCAACCTTGTGCTTCGATTTTTAGCACTGATGGTTCATTCTGGGCTCTGCGACCATAAAATCAGCTTCTGAGAAATCTTTGCATGGTTTTCGGTTTTTTATGAACCTTTTTTAATTCTATGTCTAGTTTTGCAAGAGTTTTATTGACGTTGTTAATTTAGAAAAGTGAAGATTAGGCAGATTATCATAAATTTGAAAATAAAAATTAATTATTTAATGTATATATTTAAATCAATTTTGCGAAAAAGTGAATAAATATTAAAATGAACGTTAAATTTTATCTTAACTTTAACGGCGAAAATGTTGAGATAAAGACTGTCGGGCATACGAAAAAAACTTAACTGGAATCTACTGGAACTTTCATACAAAAATTCTAATGATAGTAAAAGGTTTTTAATAATGAACGAGCGGTTGTACTTCCTCCATTGAAGGTTTGGGTAATGTAGTGAAAATTACTGGAATACGAGTTATTTGCATACAATTTTCCAAATTATCCATTTAAATATTAGTCTATTGAAAAAATAATGCATTTTTTAGTTGGCATTTTACTAAAAGTTTTATTTTATATTTTTGAATTTTGAAAAGATTACGCTGCTTAGAAATAAATTTGAAAATAAAAATTAATTATTTAATGTATATATTTAAATGATTTTTGCGAAAAAGTGAATAAATATTAAAATGAACGTTAAATTTTATCTTAACTTTAACGGCGAAAATGTTGAGATAAAGACTGTCGGGCATACGAAAAAAACTTAACTGGAATCTACTGGAACTTTCATACAAAAATTCTAATGATAGTAAAAGGTTTTTAATAATGAACGAGCGGTTGTACTTCCTCCATTGAAGGTTTGGGTAATGTAGTGAAAATTACTGGAATACGAGTTATTTGCATACAATTTTCCAAATTATCCATTTAAATATTAGTCTATTGAAAAAATAATGCATTTTTTAGTTGGCATTTTACTAAAAGTTTTATTTTATATTTTTGAATTTTGAAAAGATTACGCTGCTTAGAAATA